GGGTTGGATCACGAGCGCATTGTGCACGTTTGTGGTGGACCAACCTTTTGCCACGTGAGATATTGCGTCATGCCTATGATTCGGTGAAGCGTGATACTACACTCACAGTTGACAGTATCTTGGATGTTTCCCGGCACTCTCAAGTAGTGAGAGTTGCTGACAGTTCACCTATGGCATTGGTGAACCGCGTAGGTCAGCCTCGGATGGCTTTACCTACATTTGTCAGTTATCCGGCATCACATGCATATCGTGATGGGGGACCTGGACTACTATGGGACAGTACCCTACATCAGTTGGTGGAGCCCAACGCTGATGAGAGAGAGCGTGCGATGGGGTTTCTTACTGGTGTGACCGCGGCTTCTTCAGTTTCAGAGGCGTCGCGTCGTCAGGTTTTGGGTCAGGCTATGGACCTGAACTGCTTGACGTGGATTATGACCTTGGGTTTGGCCGAGCAACGCCGTTTGCGCGCAGATTTGGTGGTTGTAACACCACTTATTAGCTCATTGCCTACCGGGACGGTAGTAGCAATGGATGGGGGCGACAGGCGAGATATTCGTTATCCTTGGAGTTTATGGGACGTGACGAAAGGACTTGCCAGAGTTGCAGCCCATGCAGTTGGAGAGGATTCTCACGTGGAGGTGGCTACGAAGGAGGGTACAGAGAACCCTTCTTTGTAGTGTGTAGCGTAGCAACCATTGACAGTGTCGCCTCCCTCTAGTGTGCCTATGGAGGAGGAATGGGAGCCATTGATTGGTTCCCAGATCACAGGAGGAGAGAGGCGACGATTGACACAATTCCTACGAGACTATAGGAGTTGTTTTGCTTTCAGTATGAAGGAGTTGGGTGCGTTGATTGGACCCGGTATACGGATAGAATTGGCTAGTGATACGCCAATCTTCCGTCGTCCTTATCGATACAGTGAGATGGAGAGAGATTTGATTCGGAGTAGGACGTTGGACCTACTGGAGGCTGGACTAGTGGAGTTATCGCATGGTGAGTATGCGTCAGCCACTGTCATGCCGGTGAAGAAGGATGTACATGGCAACTACACGGATAGGCGCATGTGTGGAGACTACCGTCCTATCAATCGGCAGACGAAGTCCGATAAGTATGCCATGCCTACACCTGAGGAGATCTTCGATGTGGTGGGACATGCGAGGATTTTTAGTACTTTGGATCTTCGGGCAGGATACCATCAGTTGCCAATTCGGGAGGAGGACAAAACCAAGACAGCGTTTTGGGGCGTCAACTCCCACGGCAAGGATTGTTTGTATCAGTGGCGATTCTTACCCTTTGGGTTGAAGAATGCACCTGCCGAGTTTCAGAGGGTTATGGACAGAATCCTGGCGGGGCTGGATTTTGTCAGATGTTACATTGATGATATCTTGGTGTTTAGTGACACTGTGGAGCAACACCAAATACACTTGCAGATTGTGTTTGAGCGATTGAGGGCTCATGGTTTGAGGTTACATCATGGGAAGTGTAAGTTCTTCCAGGAGAAGGTTGAGTACTTGGGTCATGTGATATACCCAGGTGGTTTAGGAGTTCAGCAAGCAAAGGTGGAGGCTATTGCACGCATCCCTCGTCCCACGGATGTGAGTAGAGTTCGTGCATTTATGGGTTTAGCGAACTACTACCGGAGGTATGTGAAGGGGTTCAGTGCTATAGCCAAGCCTTTGAACCAGTTGCTGAAGTCAGATCAGGAGTGGCAATGGGGAGATGAGCAGGAGCGACCTTTTGTTGAGCTCAAGGCCAGGTTGGTGGCCGCTCCCATCTTGAGGAGACCTATCAGAGGTCGTCCATACCAATTGCACACTGATTGGAGTATGTTGGGACTTGGAGCGGTGTTGACGCAGCGTGATGATGAGGGCAAGGAGTTTGTGGTTGCGTACGCTAGTCGTTCGAACAATGCAGCGGAGTCGCGGTATAGTTCGTACGAGGGAGAGTGCTTGGCAGCGGTGTGGGCTGTGGCGCACTTCAGGTGTTACTTGTTTGGTACGCAGTTCACCCTTGTTACTGATCATCAACCGCTCAAGTGGTTGATGGAGTCCTACAAGCTTACAGGGAAGCTTGCACGGTGGGCTCTCATCTTACAGGAGTACGACTTTCAGGTGGTGCATAGACCTGGAGTTGCGAACCTAGATGTCGATGGTTTGAGTCGAAACCCATGCACTAGCCAGGAGGATGACACTGGAGCTAGATGGCATGGTGAGGTTGACGAGGAGATGGTGCCTGGTTGGCATGCATCTGCCTTCATGTGTTGGTTACGTGGGAACTCCAGCAGAGAGGATCATCTGACATCTTACTCTAGTCAGAGAGTAGATGGTCGATCTCCAGATCGTGAGGTTGAGGATGGTGGTGTGGATCAGCGTGATGTACACGATGATGCATTGGTGTTGGAGTTCCTACGGACCAGCATGGTGCCAGGCACAGTGGGTGCCAAGGAGCGAGATCGTGTTCTCCAACGGGCCAAGAGGTATCGATTGGAGGGATCACATGTTCTCCGAGTATGGGAGGACGGTAGGGTACGAGTAGTATCACATCCAGCCCAGAGAGCACGCATTGTGAGGCATGCTCATGAGGAGTTGGGACATTTTGGAGTGAAGCGTACATACAGCTTACTCCTTGGTCAGTATTGGTGGCGTGGTATGCATACTCAGGTACAGCAGTTGGTATCACGTTGCATGGTTTGTGATCGAGTGAGGGCATCATTCAATGCCCCGACACCAGTGTTACATCCATTACCCATCATGGGGTTGGGTTACCGTTGGAGTTTGGACTTTGCTGGACCACTACCTTTGACTGTACGACATCATCGGTATGTGTTGGTGATGGTGGAGCATTTCTCCAAGTGGATTGAGTTGGTGGCATTACCTGACAAGGCAAGTGAGGGAGTAGCGTATGCTTTTCTTGACAGAGTGCTTAGTCACTGTGGTGCACCAGCTGAGGTGTTGACCGATCAGGGAACGGAGTTTCAGGGTGAGTTTCAGGTCTTGTGCGACAAGGCACTGATTGATCATCGGACCACGTCGCGAGATCATCCAGAGGCGGATGGTTTAGCTGAACGTGTTGTACAGACGGTGAAGAGGGTGTTGCGCAAGTATGGCCTGCAGAAAGGTCATCTTGGGGACTGGGATATCCAGTTATCGTGGTTGGCCATGGGATATCGGTTCAGTCGGCAGGCATCCTTGGCTTCCTTCTCACCATATTTTCTATTGTACGGCCGAGATCCAGACTTGCCAACATCGATTCGTCGTGAGTCTAGCGAGGTGGTGAACCTTGATGACCCGAATATGTGGGTGAGAGTATGTTCTCAACGTGAAGAACTCTTTCAAAGAGTTATGCCTGCAGCGTTTGAGAATCTTGCGATTGCTCAACATAGAGATACGTTGCGGTATGCAACCATTCGGGGAGGAGGTTATCAACCATCAATTCGTAGATTCCATGTGGGAGACTACGTCTATCTACAGCAGACTGCACCGACGACATTGGATGTGACGGCGGGACGCACCATCTTGCGGGTGCGGGAGGTGTTACCTTCTGGAGTTCTCCTGTTGGAGGGTCGTGACGGCGTTGTTTGGAAGGATCATGTGCGCAATTGTGCGCCATGCCACCTCCCAAACGTAGATGGCACTATGGACCCAAGCTTAGCGATAGTACGTGCTAGCTTGAGGTGCATGCTGTGTGGGTCGGCTGGTCAGGCGGCCCGTATGTTGGTGTGTGATAGGTGCTCCAGGGGATGGCACATGTCGTGCCTAACTCCGCCTATCGATGTTATTCCGGCTGGACGATGGGTTTGTCCTCGATGTACTTCATAGGGGTAGATGACTTGATCTTCACATGTTATGAATTGCAGATAGGCGACTAACGATGGGGCGACATAGCACCCGGCCTACTGGTTCGCGCACCCACGAAGGTGTATAGCATGTAGTTGTAGATGGGGCTACCTGGGAGTCAGAGGGACCTGACCGCCAGCTAGGGGGGCGAGTTGTGACATTTGAGTGTGTACTCTCTCGCGCCTTATATGTGTGTATGTGTGTGCGTATGTGTATGTGAGTAGCATGTCAGCGATGTAGAGTGTATGGCGATATGTATTCGCACGACAGCTGGAAGCTCCAATTTGCGCAGGGAAGAGATCTGAGTTGGTCAGATGGGTTGTTGTAGAACACTAAGTAGATGTTAAATCTTCATACATCTGACGAACAGCATCTACTGCGAGCGTAGCTGAAGTTTGAAAGAGTGCTATGCGCGGGTCCTACGAATGAGAGTTTCAGACAGATATTGCGCCACTCGTCATTCTGGTCACCAGAATGACAAACGAAGGCCATTGGAATGTCCATTCTTGCTTTCAGGCTTAAGTACCGGTATTAAGTACTTCCCAGATCAAGAAGATGAAGTCCTCACAATGAGGGCTGATATTCTTCGTTAGACCAGACCAGACCAGTCCATTCCATAGCTATATCCATTCGATCGTCAGGTGAGATTCCATAGCCAATAGTCTTTCCTTCAAGATACGTCCAGAAACAAAGTTTTAGCAGTACCAAGTGTTGTGAGATGTACCCGCACCTGGAGATATCAAAATTCGTGTTCTAGGAAAGGATCTGTGCCTAACTATGTTAATATGGTGGCACTAACCATATTAACGTAGGAGAAGATGTGTGCCACACTAACTCGTTGTGGGTGAAAGATGGAACCACGAGAGCAGGTGGCCCACCTACAAAGATATCAATTCTGGCGGTTTTATGACTTCCTCCACAAGCATGTACGTACTTGCAGCATATACTTCATGCCGTTGCGACAATACCGACTTATGATGGTGTGCCATACCAGTGAGTATCATCTAGAAACTATTGTACCTGCGCTGCCTTGAAAACAAAATTAAAGAAAGGCACTACACAATCGTACTAGAAGGACTTAATGTGCGTATGTATCCTGTAAGCACTCCATGTGAATGTGAAGACCAGTGAAATAACAAAGATGTCATGTATCAAGCATCCAACCGACGCATTTTCATTGGAGGGTAATTAAACTTACACAAGCTCAGACAACTGTCTTACGGGCCCGAAACGACTTCAGTGGAACAATCGACCAAAGCTCTGTTCAACCTGGATTGAAGGCCGTACAGTTATACCTTATATAAAGAATTTCTTGCTCATCGAGCTTTCCAGAGGTACACAGCTGGCCATCTTCCAGATGAACTAGTGACCCGTACTCATTTAAAATGAGTGCTATATGAAGATAATGATGTCTAAACTCGAATGAGGTGAATTGTAGGTGCAGAGACTTAAAATTTCTCCAAACCTGGAATTCACCAACCGATGTGTAAAACTGAAGATCATACAACTGAGTAGAGTCTCTGGAGTAGAAGGAAGTCACCGAGACTTTTATGAACACAAATTGAGCTGCGAAACCTATGACATCCATTCCCCCAGCTGTCCTCAAAAGAATAAGAATATACCTATCCAGAACCGAACCACAACCAAAACCTTTGCTTAAACTTGCCCGAGCTTTAAGCTTGGTGAAATGTTTCACACAAGGCTTCCGGTTCATAGGGCAGCAAGCTCCTCAGTAAAGCAAATCTGAGTCAAGCATGGACAGCCACGAAACAAAATACATCAGTACCACCTCCTGTTATCAAGAAGAAAAACCGTTCCTTTTATAAATATCATTCACCCTCCATTCGTAACTTGAGTGAATGTATTCTTCGTCTGAAGAAAAGCCACGGTCCTATTCCCTGGTAGAAACTTGTATTTCCAGGGCACAAACAAAATCCCTACATGACATCGGGCTTTACGTACACAAAGATCCAACTATCAGGTCACAAGTCTGGATCACTTTGTACGACAGTCTCACTTGAATGTCGAATAAGAATACAGTAAGAAAGACAGTCCAAATATACTAGCGGTGCCAGAAAATATCTGGGCACTGCGCGGACAATGCTGTGTCTACCAACAAAAATTGACACTTGAGCATATGTATATATAGAAAGGAATTCAAGCAAGACGGATTTGATGTTTTATAAATTCTTACGAAAAACACGGGCGGAAGTAGATTATGCACAATACATCAACTGGTAGCCAAGAAGCCATGTTATTTCGTATCGTCGGCCTCACAAAACTGTTCAATGCATTCTGAGCGAAACAACAGTTCATGCACAAAAATGTACATCCGAAGGTGGAAGAAAAAGAAACCAAAAGTTGAACACTCAAATTTCTAGAAATTATCGTAAACACATCTAAATGCACATCAAAGGATGGGGGACCTCGGAAAAACTACTGGTTATTGCCGCATCCCTGAGTACTTGTTAACAACGGCATCTAGGTATAGACCTCTTGGCAGAAGTCGGCAAGCAGGAAAATTCGATTCAACCACTATGCCAGTGGCATACACCGACGTAAAGATTTTGATGAGTGTATATTCGCAGTAGGGTAAACCAAAACCTTCACTGTCATCAGAGGCAGGATTGAGCGGCCACGTTCAATGAAAATCCACATTTATAATTTCAACAACAATGTGTGAAGACATTGGTTGAGCCATTTGATGTCTTCATAACGATGTGTCGAGTAGAACAGCCATTTATTCATCAATACCTACGTACGGGTAAAAGAGTCGTAGTCGTAAACGTGGAGATCATATGGGGAGAAGTCCAGACGATTAGGGTGATATCCAGCCGTTCATGAAACTTTTCTTGGACTCTAAAGGATTTATTTCGTTAACATTTGTAAATAGATGAATTGGTCGCATACCTGCGCTTAAGTTTGAACTATGACGAGCTTTGTTTGGAAGAGAGATCCCTTCTGCTTTTGTTGAGTAGCGCAGTACTTCTACTGGACGTATCCTCTGTAAAATCTGCTTTCAGCTTCTTTGCGTCAGGCCTAACGTCAACGGAACCTCCACCATCCGTAGTCTCGTTGCTCTCTGTGTGTTCTGTGTTCTCAATATGTTCGGTATGGTCAGTTGTATCCGCAGTCTCGTTGTTATCAGTATTCTCCGAGTTCTCGTGGTTCTCCTGATTCTCCTGATTCTCCTGATTCTGAGTATTCTCTGTGTTAGTTGTGCCTTCATTATCATCTTTCCAACCTAGTGATCTAGCCCGACTTTCCCAAATTTCCGATCTTTTCTTCTCAAGAGTCAAAGCAGCTTCCGCTTTCTCTCGAGCACCTTCACTCGTCTCCATTCCCTGATTGCATTTCTCAAACTCCTTTTGATACTGCGATGCAACCTTTTTGGCCTCAAGAAAAGCTGCCTCTGATCGTTGTTGGGCTTCCTCAGCAACAATCTCCTGAAGCTTCAATTCTTCCTGTAAAAGCTGGTATCTGCTTTTTCCAATTTCATCTTGCATGTCCGGGTCATCTCTGGCACAGTCTGCACAAGGACAAACAGACCTCAGCATCCATTTTTGTTCAGATGAAGTCGAAATTCAGATCAAGCAGCACAACCCAGTGACCGCTTGTGACCTTTTGGTAAGATCTAGTCTAAGAAATAACTTGAATGACACTCTCATCAACAGTTCCTGCGAGTTGCCTCACAAAAAGGGGAGGCTCGATAAGGTGCAAAACAAAGTCCTAATCTTCGCCAATGGTCCTAGATTCGACCAATTCAAAATGGCCACCGATTATGTCACTCGATTGTGACTAAAATTGAAAGGATTCCTCTCCTCGCAGTCGGAGTTTAACATCCTGATCCAAGAAGCCGTAAAAACTCGTAGGTTCTCAGGGCAAATGCAGCTGATATCTGCTCAACCTTACGCATGTATGCCGATGTCTAACCTATACAGTTGGCATTAGGGGGGAAAGGTATGCACTGTTCTCTGGTACCAATAAGTTATTTGAATCTACCGCTCGTTCAAGACGGAAAGTACAAATCACAAAAGGGCGAAAAAGCACCTGCTTTCGTACTGTGTAGGGAGTTGAGAGACACACCTGGCAGAGTGACGTTCGTCAGGTCTGCAAACACAAGAGTTGGAAGAAGCAAAATGGTTTCTTAGAGACGCTCAGAAGATTCACATGTACGATGAGATGAAGAGGAGAACGACAAAGATCTGTATGTCAAACACACCATGTTTACAAAATCTACAGCCAAGTACAGCAGTGTAGATGTGTGTGAAAACGTGGCCATGCGGTGGTCGGAAGGCGAGCAGACAAAAGCATAGAATGAATTATTTCGGCCAGGATTTCGAAAGGCCAACCTGCCAGCGCATTGTTGTTAAGGCCGTCAGCTGGACAATCACAAATACATAGCGGGCAAGACGTGAGGTGCTTCCCAGCCGCATCGCCAACGAAGTGCCAGTACAAAGGAGGCCCCAAAATGTACACAGAGAATCCAAGTGCGAGGGCCATGATTAGCACTTTCACTCCGGAGACGCCCCCTTGTTGCGCCATGTTGCTTCCTCCTCTGGCTCCTTCTATTTGAAAGATCTTACTGATCTAATTTGATCTTCCTCAAGGTCTCCACCGCCTGTGGAACGCGCCATACGATCAAGAATATGAGTCTAGAGCTAACTCTTGAATTCGGCAGAAATTATCAAAGCAAGCTCTTCAGCTTTCACAAGTACATTATGATTCCAAAAGCACCGAACGTGCACTCACGAGTGTAGTTTATTTGGATTCGCCGAGTTGATATGGTGATTATCGGAGCTGCATTGCTCCCTGAGATCTACTCCGTGCTGCCTGCCAACTCAAACATTTCTACTTCAGTAACCTAGAGAACTCTCCTTTGATGATACCATTCAACAGCCCCTTAAAGATTACATCGGTCCTCCCTCACGCTCCTCCCACTCTACTCCTAGCAAATTTCACAGATCATCACTCGTAGCTACGATGCGCAGTCGCCTCGACTTGAACAAGCTCAGCTTCCCGAGTCCTGGCCCGACATCATGCACTGCAAGGGCACACGGGATCCACACTCTCGCAAATGGCATGCGCCCATCAACCCCACCACCGCCCCCACCGGCCCAGTGACTCATTTACTCACTACCCAAGCCCACTTTGGACCATCAAGCTGACAAAGACATGTCTCCATACGCACGACTGTCCGAAAGACGACCACGCACGCACAATAACAGCGACTAACACCTCTCACCAACCCAAGGAAGATTCCCCGCACTCGCACCGAGCAACTCTCCCCAGTCACATTCACACCGCACAGAATACTGCTCAACAAGACTCAAACTCAACAATGCCAGATCGAGCCGCCCGGAACCCAACTCACAGGTCTCATTCTGCATCCATGCGATCACAGCCAGAGGGATCAATCGCCCAAATGTCAGAGTGAGGCGAGCAAGCCTCCAGCGCCAGCAGCAGCAGCAGCAGCTGTAGCAGGTCGTCCTTTCTTTTCCTCCTCCTAGACACAATCGTCGGCATTCACGATCTTTCGACGCCCCGCCGGTTCATCGAGCATTTACGATCCGGACAACCCGACCCGACCCACCCGACGCAAGGCGAGGCAAGGCTCAGGCGGGGCGAGACGAGGCGAGGCGACTCGAGGCACGGCGATGCTGCACACGAAAAGAAGCTCTCGTCGACTACTTCGAGCGTTTTGGCCGCTCGGGCTCTTCCGTCCCTTCCTTTCCCTTTCCGTCCCTCCTCCTCCTCCCCTGCCCACCACCAAACAGCAGCAGCGCTACTTCTCCCCTCCTCTTCGCACCTCTGAGCTCTGGCCATCGACCGACCGACTGACCGACTGACTGTCAACCAGCCCCTCGCTCGCTCTTCTCCGCACCTCTCGTCTCGTTGCCGTCTCGCCCCCTCGCGCTCCGCCAATACAGGGCGAGCCTGTTTTCCGCTGAAGGTGCCTGGTCTCCTACCGCTAAACTGGCGGTGCTGCCAGAGAGAGCGATAGAGAGATGGAGGCGACGGTCTAACACGGTTCTCGCACGGGGAAGCGCCTCTATCATTGGCGCGACCATACAAGAGCCGGCGGGAGTGAATCGTGATCCCGAGTCGGTCGATTCACACAGCGAATGTGACTTCTCGCGTAACAGATTTTATCTGGCCCGGAAATCCCAGCGGTCGGGAATATTGCCCGGCGGCCTCCTCCCCGTTCCCCGGCGTGTCGGCGGTCCGGTCCCTCGCGCGGTATCTACCTGATGGAGCTCTTCTCATGGTTGAACTCGCTCTGTCCGCGGGGCTTTTTGTTCTTTGTTGGCTCGCTTTCCTCCCATTTTTTTATTCTTTTCTGTCGCTCGATCCGTCTCCGCTCGGCGCTAAGTGGCAAGAACATGTCTTCCTTCATTTGTTTCTGTGTGTTTTCTTGTTGCCCTTCGTTGCGACCGTGCTCTTCCATTTTCTCGGAGTTTTTTATTGCCTTCTTTGAGGATGTGTTGTGCATGCTTACATTGTTTTATTGGTTGGTCGCTTTTCCTTCTATGCATGGACGTTGTCTCGCGTATGATTGTCTCGCTTTCGGTATTGTCTTCTTTATGCTGTAACCTCAATGCATGTCCATGCCCAGGCTCTTCTGTCTAGTATCGAAAGTTTGCGCAAAAAAATCTTTTCTTGCTGAAATTAAGAATGTACTTCGGACAAATGAACATTTCGGCGGTGATGAGCAGAGTACAGTACACAAGTGCTGGTCTTCGTGGGAGGGTCTATACATTTCCAGTCGACTCTTGGATACGGATGCGGGGACCTCGGCCACAAACATGAAGAAGTGTGCATCCGAATTTATATTTGACAAATATATTATCTCGATCTTCATTAGGCAGATGGCCCAGGGTGTGAGCTGAAATTTACGTTCAACGCAAACCACAGACAAAGACCGGCATCCTGACCTGGATTTGCAACGATGGCCAGTCATATCGTTGCAAGTAATCCAACGATCGACTTGTGTGGTGGACAGATCGGAACTGGTTGTCCCCCTTGTTTTGTCGAAAAGTGCCCTAACTTCATTAATCCTAGGCTTTTGAAGCAATCTGTTCAAGGTCAACCGACAGCTCGTGTGAGCCACTTTTGCCTTCACGAGTTGTTCACAGCCCACATCTTGCATCCAGAAGAATTTTTACCTCTTGCCATTTCCTCTACAGTGGCGAGGAACAGCGAGGAAGATAGATTTTCTTTACTGTCGACTTCATACTGGAAGTCACGTGCAGCTGCTGATCGTTGGACACGCTAAAATAGAAACCTGCGGCTAAATCGGCCGTCCGCTCATTAAACTAGCTGCTCACTATCTTCCGGCCGCTCTTTTTGATTTGAGATTCGAGTCCACATGATCGTTGACAATTTGGAGGGAGGGCATGGCTTCTGGCGCTGTCCACGGTAAAAGACCATGCCTCTAAGCAGCTCAATCTTATCTTCCAAGGATAGATTCGTCGGCAATCTTCGAGCCGAGATTGTGAAAGGAGTCCTAACTGGTAGTGTTGTGTGTGCATTTGTGATTTACGTTACTTCTTCGCACTATTTGCTATGTCCATATCTTCTCATCTTCTTGGTCAGGATCTTTGTCATAACATCCAGGATGTGATCTATCTCGGTATTAAAGCTTGTTAGCTGGAGCTGGTGGACTCTCGTTCAAATAGTGTAATAGTGCAATTCGACCTTGACTTTATCTCAGAAGTTCTTAACGAACATTAAAGTCACGCAATTGCCGTTCCAAAATGGGCATATGGTATCATGTAGGTTGCCGTTCATGTACATGTTGTAGCGAGTCTACTTTCTCATTAGAATACCCTCCACACTCCAAGTTGTGTGATTTCATGTGATTTCTTAAAATTCATACACTTTCTTCTAATACTACGTTCACTAGTTGTGTCGACTTGACTTCGTGTATAATCATTCTACAAAATCCTTCGGACAATGTAATGTTATGTTTTATCAATATACGAATGTATATCTTTATACGAATATTATATGAATTTAGTAAAATTATGATTCAATAACAATCCACCACTCTCTATGCTCACCATGTGCACTCTTAACCAGTTTTAGAAACTTTAAGTAATATAAGAAATCATTTCAATGTCATCTGACTAAAGAAGTAATACATGTTTTATTTTGATATTCAATCCACAAATAAGTGATAAAATGAGAACTATAAATTTCTAAATTATAAATCTGTACTTAAAATTCCATCAAATATTACTTCCAATTATATTCAAACTTATTACTTTCAATCTTCCAGGTGCAGATTTCTTCAAGTAGAGCTAGAGCTGAGCCATGATCAGCTGTTTGCAGATCATGTAGCTTGTTTAATCAGTTTGCAATGATGGACTTTGGGTTGAAGATTTAAGTATGGAGAGTAGTTTTAAGTATAAGTGTTAGGAAAATTGGCATGTCTAGCTAAAAATTTGCTTGTTTTTTTGCCATTTTACAGGTGGTTTCATCGGTTTTCTTTGTCACTGGCTATTCGTATCGTGATCGCTTGGATGCGATTCCTAAATGCTTCTCTCATTTAAAGCTCAATGACCAGTATGATTTTTCTGCAATAACTTTGTGGATATTGAGTTGAGTACAAGTTTTTTCTTATGAATATAAGTGCAAAGTAGTGATGATGCATGGAAAAACATGAAACACATTTTGTAATTTATTGGTGCTTTTCTAGATCATGTGATAGAATTTTCAAATATCTTCTATTCATGCTTAAGTGATTTTACATGATAAGTTGAAAATTGACTTTGAACGGATTTAAAACTTAGTATTTAATAAAGAAACAACAAGTTGAATGCAATATAAAGATTAGGCATACAAGCAAATTTTTAGGCCAAAACCATCTAACTACAAATGATAAAGAGTGAGAAGATATTATATATTAGATTGTAAGCATTCCAATATTCCACTAGCAACATTTTATATAGAATCAAATAGATGACTATCGATCATATAGAATCAAATAGATGAATGTATTTAACTATTTGAATCTCTTGCGTATTAAGTACATTGCAAAGAGCCGATTATGATGATTACAATGTATGATTATTTGAAGACAATAAGATTTAAGAATAAGGATCTCAGAACAAAAATCTTACATCACATTCATGTATTTTGTGATATTTTTATTTATATTCCAGAAATTATAATTGAAATGATTGATGAAAACAAGAAATTGCATGTAATGGTTTCATCACATGTATGATTTCATTCAATACAACTCTCTCATTCTCACGTAGGGCTAAGGTCTTGCACAATTCGGTGGAGTTGTACGGTTTTATCATTTAACCCTTTACTATAAACCATTACTATAAACCAGAGACAGTCAGCATCTGAATAATAAAGCGCATGAATAAAAGAAGAACAAACCAGTTACTTACCCTTGAGACATTAAGTTTACCATTTACCACTATCATTTGTGCTGTTTTATTGTGATAGGCACAAAATCACTAACAACAAAGTTAGAATTAGTTTTTTAAATTCTAACTTACTAGAAAATATGATGTCATATACTTCATACTCTTCTTTCAATATAAACCTAACTTTGTACATAGATCATTCATATTATCAAAATGACAAAGATGGCAATTATTTTTGATCTATAAGTAGATATAACTCAATCAATAAATTACTTGAATATAATACGGTAGTAGTTTCAAGATTAATCAATTTTGTTCACATCAATAAGAACGGTTGTGTACAATAAACGCAATTGATACTCTGTTTTTGACACATTTTTAACATACTAATGTTTTTGTGATCTAGTGGCACATAAACTTGGATGTACATTTTACATTTGATATTTTTGTTAATTTTTGAAATAAAAATCTCCATATTTTTCATCTTGTTAAGTACATTTTTTAATGTAAAATTTTTTTTTCTATAGAAATCATTTTGTTTTTTTATGAAAAAAAATATTACAAATTTGCTTAAAAATCAGCTTTGTATTTTCAACTTCTCCATTATAATTTAGAAAATTGAAGATGTTCAATCTAGTACAAACTATGATTAAAAAATCAATTTTAGGAATACCAATAAGCAAGGAATACTTCATTTCACTAACCTAGCTTGGTTTATTTTGACTATTTTACATATAAATACATGTGAATGTGAGTGAATGACGTGAAAGAGTGAATGACAATTTTACATGTGAATATCGTAATTCATATGAAAAGTACATGTCATATGTGGATATTATCTTTAATAATTCAAATTTTGTATTCCCATTGTTAATTTGAAGTTCAATCAACATCATTGATTTAAAATTTGTCAGTTAAAATCTTCATCTCTTTCTTCATTTCACTATTTGTATAATTTTTGAGATCTTTATATTTTTTCAAGCTTAAGAAAACAAAAGCAATGATTTTTTCTTTTCAATTTGAAACATTCAAAACTACAATTTTGTCTTTTACAAAAAATTTGAAGCAATTTTGAGATTTTTTTATTCTTAATTATCAATTTTTTGACGCAATTTATTCTTGTGAGTAACAATTATAGCAACTTTCTAGTCTAATCTCGTTAGGTATATAACAAAGTATTTTATTTTAAAACAAATAAACTGAAATCACATGCTTTACAACAAGATTGTCATCAACCAAAACAACATACTCATAGCTCCAATACAAATCATTAAAAAGATGCAAAACTTCATAACATAGACAACTGATTGTGAATGATGCACATTTATGAAAAATAAAATTTCAAGTCGATATTATGTGCAAATCACAATGCAAAAATCTTCATCTTTATGCTTGAAATCTAACTTATGGATTTGTTTATATCTACCATCAACAAAGTTATCAAACTTATTTTTCATTGTCAACTTGATTAAAGTATTTAAGACTTGTGAAAAATGTGTTATCACATTTTTATTAATTTGATTAAAAATAATCTTATCAACATCATTTTCATATATAATATATATGATGAAGAGAAAAACTTATCAGAAATTAAATTTAGAAGCCAAAGATTAAAGATATTCATCAAGAATATTCTTTTATTGATGCTTTTCAGGAAATACATAAATAATATTGCATATTCATAATCTATTCCAGTCCAATGGATTGATCACATGACAAATATAACCCATGTGTGTTTCAATATGTCTATTCTTTCTAACATTTTCAAGTTTAACTAATAATGATAACATTGTTATATGCCAATGTTAAAATATGACACTACTATTTAATATATGTTTGATATTGCAGATTTGGACAAAGCTCCTAATAATCATGATGTTTTCAATTTTGTTGTTGTCAAATTTCTCTTTTTAATGGTATTGAGTTTAATCATTGTACCAAGTTCACTAATATATTGTGAATTTTATATATTTAAATATATGAGAGTATCATACATCAATATTCAACAAAAGAGTGCAAAAATTTGAAACTAGTATTTAATTGAGCTTCAAAGTTGATCATCTTAACTGAAAAAATTCACAATAGAAAATATGACTCTTTTGTAGCAAACTAGCAAATAATATATACATTTATGTCTCACAATTTGAACTTCTTCGATAATCATAAATTCATATTACATGACAAAAACCATTTTAAAGTGACAACACTCTAACAATATAGTTCGACTAAACATGAAGAAGATGACATTGTTCTTTTTGTTCATAACAAATATTTATATCATTAACTTGTATCCAAAAAATTATAATTTTTAATCATATATCATGTAAAGATATTTTTGCATGATCTCATGCACAACATGAACATGTGTTCAGACTCTTGCAATTTAATATAATAGAAAATTTACTTATCTTATATATTAAAGTATATTATCATTTTTTTGAATTTAAATATATTATTATTGTTTACATATGTATTTCATTCAATAAATTATACGCAATAAAAAAACAATCTAAATTAAGAGTATAACAAAATTAAGATTTTTTTAATCATATGATGCCATCATCAAGCTTTCATTTTCAATTTTCGTATAAAATTGAAAATAAACAAATTTGTTGAATTTAAAACAATAAAATTTATTTGTTTACATCTGATATGATAAAAGTGTATTTTATTATTTGATCAAATAAATCTAAATCTTTCACAATGTGATAATATGAATAATCTTTTATAAATGATCATAATTGGAATGACATAATGTATACAATCATAAAATTTATTAGTTGGTTAGTGAAGAAATTTTTACCATGTTATATATGAAGCAATAAATTACAATCTTAATCTTTAATTTAAATGTTGATTTCAAATAATAGAATCATAGCCTTGTTGGATTTTGATGTTTATACTTGAAAACTACAAAACAAATTTGTATGTAGATTTAATTTATCTCATACAAATAAAGTTATACGAAGCATAAGAGTGGTAAAAATGTATGCATTTGATAATTTTGGAGAAAATGAACTTAAAGACATTAGTAAAATAATAGTACATTTTAAATAATAATAAAATAAATATATTACAAACATCTAATAAAATATCCAATTTGTTTGAAACATCATATTTAATTTGTTCACCTTATCATCATAAATGCTTGTAACATATTTTGTTTTTATCTAGACATTTAGAAAATCAAATTAATTCAATTATGTTTAAAAAGTTGTTGAACCACTTTAATATAATTTTAGCTTTGTAACATATTTAAAATGATGACCACCGAGATCTTTTTGCATCTTTGTCATGATTTGAAATTTTGTGCTAAAAATTATCATTTGAACTTGACTTTTACATCAATGTATATAGAATTTTTTGCTTGGAGGATTTCAATTCTGTTGCAGTCAAAAAATTTACTTTAATGCAATCATGTTTGATAATGAGACATCATATGCTCATATTGTTTGGATAATCTCTGACGCTCATACTCCAATTGTGCTAGTTGATGTAGAAGAGATTGTCATATGGTTGAAACATAGTCACGTTTTTAAATTTGTTTTTCCCACATGGATAAACTTGATATCTATTAGGATGCTTTCAGGTTATCTAAATTATCCTCATTTATATAATTGAAACTAAATGCTTATGTATGTGTGGAAGGTATTGTATGCATTTGTATTTGCTTTTAAATAATGTTGGTTGTGTATCAAAACCCAGCACAAATATCAAATTGCATCTCTGTACATTGTATGTGTAATGATTTTACCTCTACAGATACGGACGCGTCTTTTGTTGGCTATGCTACACAAGACACCCTCCTCGTAGTACCTTGTAGCATAAACACTACTGAGCCAGTAAGATGCTCCATGGAGATGAAGAAGAAAAAATAAGAGATGAAAGATAGATAATGGTCCATCCAAGTCTACCTCACCACATCTTCTTCGAAGATGTTGCATGGACTCCGTCTGCAGTTCACTATGAGGGGGGCTTTGGTGGAATATGCACCAAAGCGAAAGGATCAGAATAGAGTATTGACAAAATGTTGCAAGGTTACCTCGGTGATGTAGAGATGAACATCAAAGAAGAATTAGAGAATGCTCCTTAGGAAATCCAGTTTGCTGAAGTAGTAGATATTGAAGTGGTCTTGCGAAGACAGAGTGTCGAGATGTCTTATAAATGCAGAAACATGATGCCAGAACGAAGAGCAGAGAAGGTAATCAGACGACGGAGAGCCAAACTAGCAAACTAGCAACAAAGGGGACGTAACTTTCAAATAGGGCAATGTGCCGTTGTATGTCCATGCATGCATGCATGGATGATGGGGTGAGCGAATTGTTCCAGAGCTCGACATTCCGACGAAGGCCGCGCGGGCCGAGAACGCAGAGGCAGCAGGTGGCGCGCCAAAGGACGGGGTTGAGGAAGGTTGCACTTCCACGAGCCTGGGCTCCGAGGAGATCCACCACCAAGATCTGCAATTGCACTGACCGGAGCCGACTCTGATCAGCAAACCTTGTCCAGGTCGAGTCGCTGAATCCGAGGATAGGTCGGAGACGCCAAAGGCTTCAGTGTTAGCAAGGCTAGAGATTTTAGAGGTTTAGCGTGTGGCGTCGAGAAGCCGACTTGCACCTCGAGTTTTTGCATTTGCATTTGTAGAATGAGCTGGGCAAGCTGAGGTTTTTCTGCAAGTTCTGTGAACGGTCGGGACACCGTTGAGTGATTGCAGACGGACGAGGGTATTGTGAAGGTTTTAGGAATGGTGCATCGCGGGTTACCTGCAGTTTTCGGGAGCGATGGTTTGGAGGGCAGTAAGATTCAAGTGTGAGTTCGTGGCGGGAACAGAAGGGAGAATGCTGAATCGCTTTCCTGAGTAGCAAGAAGAGCAGCGAATATGGCGGCTTTTCTTTCCGATGATGAGTTGCAGCGAAGAGGTGGAGATGAGGTAGTGGCTTATGTCTACGAGCTGAGACAGCAGTTAGAGACTCACAAAGCACGAGCCGATGCTGCTGTCATCAATGCCGAGCAGACGTGCGCCCTCATCGAGCAGAAGTTTTTATCCCTCACTGCTCAGTTCGCTCAGCTGGAGAATGAAAAACAGCAAAGTGCCGCCACTCTGGAGCGTCGTTCAGGCGAGCTTGCTCAGGCACAGAGTCAGGCCCACAAACTTGAGCTGGATGCCGTAAGTTCATCTCTTTTTCATACAAATTTGAACGTATATTTAGCTGCGCGGAAGTTTAATTGGATATTTGCCTCATTGGGAATCTTTGAACACAAATTTTGCCATTCAACAGTAATTTGGTTGTTTTTCTCTTGATCATCATCTTTGTTATATCATATGGCAAGCGTAGCAGAGTTAAGGAAGAAGGGACCACGGTAGTTTTTGCCTCAGTTTCAAGTTAAATTCGTCAAATTTTCGTCAGTACTGCCTGAGACAACTGTTGTAGCGAATGTCAATAAATCATGTATCAAATGCATTCGTAAATCAACAGAGATCTTTCATACTAGCCTGAAACTCAGTTTCAGGAGAATGCGCCGTACTTATGGATTTTTCTGGTTCGTTTGGCAATTGTACACCCACACTTCTTGTTATTTTGCAATAGGGTTTTCTCTGTGTTTCAATAATCTAATTACAACTTCGAGTTTTGTTCTGGAGTCATCGAAGTGTATTCCTCTTGATCGCCCGTTTTTATCCGATTGGGCAGATCAAGCATGAGAGTGACATGGAGCGAGTGTCCTTTGAGCTTAGTGAAGCACGAAAGTCTAGGAGGGAGCTTTTGGACGTGGTGGAGCAGAAGAACATCGAGCTTGATGAAAAAAATTCTTCCATCAAATCATATCTTGAGAAAATTGTGAGTTTATACAGACTTAGCTAGATGCGTACATGCACAGACATATTATGCTACTTATCATCTTGGTTTCATTCATTTCATATCACTTCTGCATTTGCTTATAAATTTGTTTATGTCTTGTGAGAAAGTCAGTTGGTTCATCATGTTGAAAGTTGTATAGCTGAAGCGGACGTGTTAAGAATCGAAGAGCAAAATGTCAAATTCTCATGTTTTGTTCAGAAAGTATGGTGACGAATAGTTGGGCTCTTTTCTCACACCCACTGCGTAAGCCGGAGATTGTACAAACCTGAAATAGATTCTTCTAGGATTCAGCTTTTTAAGATAGAGAGTTGAGCAGCTCAGAGCTGGGTGGTGAGGTAACCACCTGAAACGCTTCCAGCATTTCTTATCATCTTGGAGTCAAGTCTGAATGCCTGCATTCTCCGGCAAGAAACTCTGAAAAAACCAGTTTATTCTTCTCTGGGTTCCACTAGGGTATCTTCAAGGAGTTAAAGTAGTGTAATTGTTGCAAGGGGTTGATGACTCGTTTAGCTCTTACTACGAACATAAGGACTGTCCCATCAATCAAATATAGAGTACTAAGAAGATATTTTCCCAGCTCTATTGTTTGTTGCAGTATTACAGTAATTTAGGTGAATCACGTATTGGAAACGAAGTGAATCACGCCTTCAAATGGAGAAAAAACCCATAATGTTAGCGGTCAATGCATGTTTGGTGTTTATAAGAATTTGCAGCAGAAGGTATTTCACCAGCTTCCTCACCTACAACGACGGGGCACTAAGCAGTCGTTGTTGGTGTGGAGCTGGTTTTGCAATTTCCTCACCATCAATTGTCTTGCAACCACTATGACGTCGGTTCATAATGATTGAACAACATAATGTTGTTCAATCGATTTTATTTTAGCAAGAGTGTTATGGGAGCGGTTTTGGCTGTCGTGTCTTGGACTTAAACATTGCCAAAAGAAAATACCGAAGTACTATTCTACATAGGATGAGCAGTAATATATTTTCATGAATGGGATGCACGCATCAAGCCAATGAAGTCAATATCGTATTCTGGATGATATGTGGCAGGTTATCTTGACAGATGAGAGGAGTATGTTCGAGGGAAAAGTTCGTGAGCATGAGGCAGAAGTTGGAAGATCTCATGCTGTACAAGCTAGGCTCCAACAAGTGAGTAACATTTTAGGGACATTTTTTAAAGCGATTTTTTGGAGAGACATTTCATAGGCCTCTATATGGCGTGCTTCTTTCTCTGTTTTTATATGCATATATTTATACGAAGTTCAAGTATTTCAGGCACTTATCTTTGTACCTTATCCTTTTCTGTTTTCAGGAGAAGGAGCTTTTGGAACAACACAATGTTTGGCTCAATGAGGAGTTGAATGGCAAAGTAAAGGGACTTATGGAGGAGCGTCGTACTAGTGCTGATCTAGAGGCTGATTTGCAGTCCAAGCTTTTACAAGTATGTGTCGCTTAACACTGTCGTGGGCTCGATGTTTTTCTCATTAGCGTTGTGAGGTGGGATTTCTAAGAGCGGCCAAGTAGAGAGAGTGTAAAGTACCACACTCTTTTCTTATTAACAGTTTTGGATTAAGGTTACCCAACTGCGGTACACCCTTTTCTGAAACTCTTCACAAGGAAAGAAGCTAGACAGTAGTTAGTTTGTCTTCTGGCGCACTCGGCATTTCCTTTGTTTGAGATCAGTGAGAACTTCGAAGAATGTAAATCTAGTTACGCACGCAGGAGAAAGGACCTGATTGTGGAGTGGTGACTTTGATGTATCACTTGTAGGCAGAGAGGCTTTACAAGGAAGCCAAAGAGTCAGTTCAGAGGAGCAATGAGCGTATCGGGGACCTCGAAGCGAAGCTCACACAAACGAGAGAGGTATTGTGTTGTTTATATTATTTACACGTTCTTCACGTTCTTCTATTATTAGAAGAAATTATTAAGAGATATTGGCGTTTTTCATCTTTTCTTTGGTTAGACTTATTATGTAGCCTGATTACAGTGAATTGTGGAAGAAGCTTGCTTTGTAAGGAGGACCATCTTACTCCTAGCTTTAGTACTAAGAGGGAGATTGGCGAGCAGGAATTACGATATACGAAGGAGCAAGCCATTCTTCAAGAAAACCATCTGTCAACCGAAATTACTACAGTATGTTTTTTTTTCCTCGGACTGAGGTCAATGATGCAAGTGCGATCAACTGAATGGGTGGATTTCCATGTTTCTTAGTGTCTACTGTGAGCATGAGAACCCAGTACTTGGTTTTTTTGACGGTGCCATGTTGCATTTGTTCAGGCCACAAAACTTGCAGATTTATACAAGCAGAGCTCTGATGAGTGGTCGAGGAAGTCCAACGAACTTGAGGGTGTTATTAAAGCTCTTGAGGTTAGTCTACTCAATATAGAATGCCTTGGTTACTTCAGTGTCAGAGTTTGTTATATACTGCAGGCCACTTTGTGATCCAATGAAGTTAGTGCCGTGCCAGATTTGTAGACAAATATGTTTTCTCTTGCTGTAAGGGTATCTAGTCCTCAACAGTACGAATTTGTATTTAGCTGCTGAGCACCATGTGCAGATTGGTCCATGCAAGGATAGGATATTGTCTGATTAATGTTTCCTTAATCCTTGAATGATCTTGTAATGGAGAGACATGTGTCAAACTGTGGTTGTGGGCAGACTCATTTGAACCAGGTGGAAGCTGAATATCGGGAAAAACTCGACAAAGAAATCCAAGCTCGTGAAGCGGCTGTTAAGGTGGGCAGGGCTTGTACAGAGTTGAAGCATATGGTGGTGCTGCGCATGAAGTGATTCGCGTTGCTTGTTCTGTATTTTGTCGGTACATGCCTGCTATCTTTGACAAAATCCCAACAATGCAATTTCAGGATTCATCTGAGTTGAAAGAGAAGCTGGAAAAAGCCCTTGCCGATGGTAATACAGATGCCGTCAGGGATGGGGATCTCGCGCTTCCGGTCCCTCCTATGAAAATGATGACAGAGTCAATGTAAAGATCTGAGAACCCTGACTTTTTTTCCCCCAGAGTGCAACCATCGGGACACGCTTACCTTGATGCTTTTGCGGTTTTTGGTTCATCGGGTATGCTCTACCAGTACTTTCATCTTGCTGGACACTGTTATGAGCTTCTATATGTGACTGCGACAGGGATAAGCAGCTTGCCTTGGAGCTCCATGGGGATGGAGCCATGCTTCCTTCAATTGGAAAGAAGGTTTCGGGAACAGCTCTTGCTGCAGCTCTTCTACGAGATGGCTGGAGTGTAAGTTCCAGTCCTCGCTACCGAACTTTCTATCCTTAATCGCTTATAGTTCGAGCTTTGTGGCCATTTCCAGAGGATTGCAACTAACACTCTGATAGTTCCGAATATGCTCCTGGTTTCACAGCTATCAACAATGTACACGAAATATCAAGAAGCGGTGGATGCATGGCGGCACGAGAGACACGAACGAAAGCACTCTCAGGCGCTTCTAGAACGGGTAAGGATGAATATCCTTGTGGGTAGGTTTTCCAAATAATCTAAGTTTCCGATAGGACCATGAATTCCTCGTCAGTACTGAGTACGCTTTTGTGGCAAAGCTTGTTCACGAGTGACAACCTCTCACGACTTGGGGTCCACGTGCAGGTTTTGCACGAAATAGAATTGAAGGCTGAAGTTATCTTCGATGAGAGAGGTATGGCCAATTGACTCTAATTTGTAGTTCTTCATCAGCTTTCTAGGTTCAACGATGTGTGAGTGATTGAATGCTTACTGGATGATCAGATTTCTTATTTGGCGCCATCCATGAATCTTACTTTCTTATCCGCAAACAGCTGAGCACGAGAGGATGGTCGAAGCTTATCATGTGATGGAGGAGAAGCTTCATTACTCCATGGCAGATCAAAGCACGCTCGAGAACTCTATTAAAGACTTGAAGGTGAGTGAGGAGCCTTTGCAAAGGAAATATATGTACCATTTGTGTGGAATATTATTGTGGGTCTATGGTTTTCAGGCTGTGGCAACCGCTAATGAGTCTGGCTATGGACTTACAGACAGAGCAGAACAACATTCACTGATTCAATCTCCGCGTGTTATACAGGCAGATCTTAGGAAGAAGGAACGAGAAGTAAAGGGAGCTCAGAAGGAGATATCAGACCTTCAAACTCAGGTTTCTACCTTGTTCACATATTCTTCTGGTTAAGTACTAAGCGTCCAGAAGAGTATGTTTTCCGCACCTCGCCGCTTCATGTGCTTTAAGTAACTCGCTACCACTACAGCTGAGACTTTGTAATTAAACCTACAAGTAGTGTATCTCACGTATCTTATCTTCCAGAGGTTCCAGTAGACTCGTTAGGTATCGTATCCGCAAAATTACGATGTTTGCGATAGAAGACATCAATGAAGCATTGACATAATATTGGATGCAAGTATAACTTGATAAACGTTTTGTTGCAGCAAGGATTCAGTAAAACTGATCCTAGATTGACACACGTTTCGTCTCATGTGTACAGGTTGCAGGTCTACTCAAAGAGTGTGCAGAAGTCAAGCAAAGGTTTGAAGCTGGAGACTGGCATCCAAATGGAGACGCTCTTCCATATTATGCTACCTCTGAGCCCGATAGTTCTGCCGCTGATATAGTGATCTCAGAGAAGCTGGTGAGTGCTCCGCTAGTATCGTTCATGTTCGTTGGCTATGAATGTCAAACTAATATCATGTTCGTCATAGAGGCTGCCAAACAGCCGTCTTGAAGCAACTATCATCTTGGATCGTGTACAGGTCTACACGACTTATGCTTCCCATGGTCTTTAGCCTATCTAAGAATGCAACGGCGCTTCCTCTTCACGAAACGTTCTTCATGTGTCTATCAGGTGACCTTTAAAGACATACGAGGAATGGTGGAACAGAACAGTCAATTGCGTGTGCTTGTCAGAAGTCTTGCCGAAGAAAGTGAACAGAAGGAGGCAGAACTGAAGGTTTGTTGCATATTTACCACAATATTAGTGGAGGTAGCTTCAGTAGCATATTTCATCGTGGGCGAACTCTTTGAGTTGGAATCCGCGTCGTTGGTTTAGAGCTGTAGTGTGGAGTCTTTTACCTGTCAAATTTGCCTTCTTTACAAATTCCTGTGGCTGACTTGCGATGAATGTTGTGTGCGCCTCCCACTTACCTGCAATACAAATTGGAGTCATGCAGGAGTATTTTTCTGCTGAACTGAAAAGACGAGCAGATGATGCCGCCCGTAAAGTGGCCGAAACGTTGAAAAAGTACAAGGAGAAGACTGAGGTTATAGAGACACTCCAAGCAACTGTAAGTCAGATGCAGTAGAATTGGTTCTGATTTCCATTTGAAGTAATATGTGGACTACAGTATGTTTGATACTCGTGATATATCTAGGTCAATCAGAGGAGAACTGCATTGTGTTTCCTCTATGTTACGTTGATAAAGCTGATGGCCATGAATTCTGTACACTTATTTAAAACTGCTGCATCAGGTGGGCATGTATAAAAGACTGTACGAAGAGGAGCTTAGGTCACGATACACTTCCCCGGCGCAAATTACTTCCACGGCAATGACTTTAATAGCTCCAGGTTCTCCTCCCATGACACATGTACTCTTGTTCTCTTTACGATAGTGCTCTTGAACGGACTAGATGTCTTTACGTTGCATTCCTCTTGATAGGCTTCTAAACAGCCCTTTTCTATTGCCAGAACTTCGATTCACACATCTTGTGGCATGATTTTAAACAACCGCAGTCTTGAAACCTACCTTTCTTTTTTGTCCTCATCGACACCGTTTTCGCAGTAAACGTCTCAAGCAATTTTCTAACAAATGCTGTTCTGTTTTCAGAAGGGGATGGACGAGATTACGGTCGACTTCTACATACTTCTCAGGTACCTACATTGAATGCAAACCCTAGGAAAAGAGCATAATGAGTGTGCAGATGATCGATGCAGAAGTCGAGAAGAGCGTAGGTGTGATCTATCGTTGCTTGCAATAGATGCAAAACTCGATGGGAGTTTTAAGCTACATGAATTACAAGCCTTTGAAGAAACTAACAGACCTGATGTTATCAGGAGGAGATTCGCAGAGCACGTGAAGAATCTGATACCCGTATCAAAACTCTTGAGGATGAGCTGAATAAGGCGAAGTATGTGTTCGGACATTTGAACAAGGCTGGATCGATGACAAGAAATTGTGATTTTGAGATATATTTGGATCATTTCATCTGTTCTCTGCGTCTAGGACAATATTCTGACAACATGTAGCTTTTAGAAGCTGGTATGTGGATACAATGGAATCGCAAGAAGAATTGAACTAAATCTATTAACCCTGTTTTAATGATCAGCATGCATTTTCTTTTGTGTTCAGGCTAGAGCTGACCAATGCCCGAGTTGAGCGAGCCAGAGTGGATGCCGAAGCTGGACTTGCAAGAGAGCAGATGACGTCCCTAACGAGAGAGGCCGAAAATCGGGTATGCTGAATCATGTGTTGATGCTATGGCTTTTAAAGCGTTGTCTTGCCCATCACATGGTTGAGACATGTTCATCAGTACAGTGACGGGAGGAGTTTGAACAATCGGTTCACAAGAAGTAAGAGGACTTGTTATTTTTTCGCAGCGAAGAGAGATGGACGGGGTTTTGAGCAGAAATATGGAGTTTTCGCAAACAATCACTAACTATCAACAGCGATTGAGAGAGAGCTCTCAGAAGATGCAAGCTGCCGAGGAGCTTGTTCACAAACTCAAAATCGAGGTATTGATACTATATATTTTTTTTGGGTTTTTTCTGCAGTGGCTAATCGTACATAATGTCTAGGACATGTGTAAGGCATCGCTAGTGGACCCGTTTTGCAGGTCATTTGGGTAGATAAGGTCAACATTGATGTTCAGTACGCGTCTGCTATAAATTTCTTTGCCGCTGGATGAATCAATGTCGACCTAATAACATTAGATGTTGGATTCTGTAGGCCGCCGTTCTGGAAAGGGAGAAAGAACTGCTGGCTTCTGCAGAGAAGAGGGCATCTGAGGAGGTTGCCAGTTTATCTGATCGGGTTCATAGATTGCAGGTGCCTTTCTACAAACTCAACCGTATCATATGTACTCTGGTCTTTTCTTGTCTCTTATTTAACACATTCACCTTTTTGTAGGCCTCCCTGGACACATACCAGAGCGTGGAAGAAGCACGAGAGGTATGTGGAGGACTTATCCATTACCTATTGTACAGTTTTCAACGGAGATTCCTTCTTTTCCATTCTCACTGTCTCTGTTGTTTGTCCTTCTTCATGAAGGCTTCCCTGAGGAAACCCGGGGCCTCCCAATCGGTTCAGTGATATAGAGAGCAAGCCAAGTGCTTATTTTTCATCTGTAGTTGAGAGGCTAGTCCTGATACGAAGGTCGTTATGCTCATCTGAGGACAGAGTGTGCGGGCCGCGGAGATGAAGAAACTTCAGGATGATTGGAGTCACATGCAAGTAAGTGCCCAACGTTTAATGTACTCCTGTTCATAGCAAACACAACATTGTTTTCTGCAGGGTGACTGAAGTTTCGGGCTCAGCAGGACAAGCTGTATATTGGTGTTAAGTGACTCGATGTTGTTGTAAATTGATCAATTATCGTAGGGAGGACTTCAAGGCAAGCCTTAGAGCGTCTGTTTGAGTACTGCAAGTTTTAGTATTTGTCTTGGGAGCTTCACTGAAGTGCTGATCCGCTCTATTGACGCAGAAAGAGTGGGCTGAGGGTAAAAGAGAGCTGGAAGTGGAGCGCAGTCACTCTAGAGACTTAATAGTTTCACGAGACAAGGCTGTCAAGGATGCGACGGACCGAATAGAGGCTTCAGGGAAGGAGTTGGCTGATGCTATCAAGGCAATGTCAGCTGCCGAGACCAGGGCTCAGGTTGCGGAAGTAAGTTGCCGGACTCTCTCTGAAGCAGGGCTCGTTTTGGTCTAAGTTTATGCCATGGAGTTTTTGCTCACACCTGTCTTCACCTTTTGTGATTTGCAGGTTCGATGTACTGAACTTGAGGCGAGCTTAAAGAGTGCGAACGACAAGGTTTGTCTAGATACAACATCTGACCTTGCTTAGAGTGCGACAATGTACAATGCGTATCGATAACTTTCCTTGTGGGTGAGGGTTTGAACCAAAATAAAAGTGATGAAATGATGGCCATTGTCTTTGGAATTTTTCACTTTTTGTATATACATGGTTGCTGATCATTGGAAAGCTTGGCTATATCCAGATTGCGATGGCTCTGTCTGGAGGTAAACGATCGGACACTGGAGATAAATCGTCTGAAGAGATTGACGCGGAGGTAAGTTGTGATAATTGAAGCTCAGTGTCATGCCATTAGTGTTCAGCACCAGTTTTGAAATATTGAAGTTTCTTCTGCTCAATTACTGGTGTCTGATAACATTTGGAGCTTGCAGTGTAGTGAATGCTTACTTTCCGATGTATGTAAGGCTACTGAAGGCTGTCTAAGGGTGACTTTTCACAAGTTAGCATGTTTGCATCATCGATGTGGTAGTTGCATCTTAGTAGTTGTTTACTATATGCAGATCCTTGCAAATCTTCAAGAAGCAAGAATGGAAGTGGAGCAACTCAAGGAGGATCTCGTAGCTTCCAAGGGCCATATTGAACAGGTAATATGTTTGAAGTTTTTTTGAGGTTCCGAAACAAACTGTACAGTACGATGCGGGAGCGAAGGGTTTCTTGATAAACCCTTCGAAGCACGAACGAAACATATTTCTGCTAATACAGTTTGTTCCAACTTACACGCTGTTAAGTGTGATATAGTCCTCCGTTTTGTTTCCGTCTCTTCATTTCATGTTATATGTCTCCGGTCCCTTTTGTGATTTACTGCTCAGGCGGGCCGTCGGATGCAAGGATTCTAGTTTTTAGTAATCAAATGACTCAAATAAAAGAAATGACCTATCTGTCATCTTTGTTTTGTGATGCAGTACAAGAGAATTGCAGAAGCTAATGAGGAGGCTCTCAAGCAGCTGGAAGCAGCCCATAACCGTTATAAAGCCGATGTACTGATTCTTTTGCTTCTTCTCATTCTGGACTATTATATGCATATCCATAAAGTTATTTTTACGTATCATCTCATGTTTTCTCATAGAATTGTCTCTATGCAGGTGGAGCACATGAAAGAGATAATGGAAGCCGACGTCAATAAACTTAGAGGGAAGATTTCTACCTTGGAGGCAGAATTGACTGAGAAAGATGGAGTCAATGCTGCAATGGCCGAAGAAAAAGAAGCTTCTTTACGAGATACCCGTCGTGAGATATCTACCATTCAGGAGTCCCTTTCATCGACTCAGTAAGCATGCATCTCTTTGCCCTTTTTATGAAGAGGATATAGTTGATTTTCTTCTTGATGTACTGCTCTCTGGAGGGGTGATAACTTGTACCTAGCAATACTGTGGAAGGAAGGAAAGAATGAAGGAAGGAAATAAATAAAGAAGAAATTTTATTTGGTAATGAACTCAACATACATATGTGTGGTGGCTTTGAGTGTAATTGGTCTGTCACTGAGTTGGGCAACAATGGCAAATGTTCAGGGCGGCATTGCAAGAAGCTAATGAGAGAGTCAAAACACTGAAGCAGGAAGTGGACAAGTATCATCATCAATATCGTGATGCCCAACGCAATTACGAAAGACAGGTGAATGGCTAACCACAACGTCTGAAGTCAGGAACATATTTTTAATGATTTTACATGGTTTTATCTGTGAAGGGCTTTCGATTTTCCTTTTTTTCGGTGATATACCTTTCTTCCTAATTTACACTAGGTTGGGAAAAGTAAAGATAGGACATCACCAACTGAACTGAGATGGCTCATGTGTTCTGTCTACTACGTAGGAAATTCGCACACAAATCTCTACTGATCAAGATACATGTCCTGCGTAGGTTCTTCTGCAAGCAGATACCATAAGAGAGATGACACAAGCAGAAGAGAGAGTGAAACATCTGGAGGAGTCTGAGGGACTACTGCGGAAGCAAGCTGAAACCGCAGAAACTCAACTAGTAAGCGATGTTCTTTTTATATGCTTTACATTAATGATCTGTACGTGTGGCGTAGGAAATGTTCTTGAACTCTTGTTAGTCTTGTAATTTAGGATTCGACTCTGTTATTTTCTTATTTATTTTGATCTAATCATATACCGTCTAGTGTTATCTACGATGTGGGCTGCTTGAATTCACATTTTGAAGGGTACGTGTAATTCATTCAACAGTTCTTGCATGTATAGAGAGACAGTTGTTTTATCTTCTTTGTTCCCTTCCCTCAACAGGTTTCCGCACAAGTTGCCTGGGCTGTGGAAAAATCATATCTTGAGGCTGCCAAGGTCGAGACCGAGAAGAAGTGGAAAGAACTTGAGGAGCAGGTATTGGTGCAATCTTTTGTAGGTATAAGATGTATGAAATTGGTACGCAAAGGGAGTGAAGTGCAAAATTATCCTTTCCGTTTTGCCCTTCGTACAGCATCACGTATAGAACGCATGTCTTAGATATGAATATGAAATGAAACATTGGACTCTTTCTCCGTTCTTCTTCAGTGATATTTATGGAAGTGGTCTGGCTTGTTTCAGAATCGATTGCTATTAGATCGATTAGAAGCTATGCATATCACATCAGCGGAACACTCTCGCAAAGAGTTTGGAGAGGCAGGAGATTCACAAAGTGCTGTGGACAAAGATGAAAGTGATCTGCAAAATGTAATCCGGTATCTGCGTCGGTCTAAAGAAACGGTCAGCTTCTAAACTGTAACCATTGAACAAGTTCTACTTTGTTAGTTATGCCAGTCTTACATTTCTATGCATATCTACTTATGTTGGTCATACTGAATGCGGTACTTGCCTTCTACTTTGTTGAATAGCTGATGGTTGAAAGTGTCATCTTACGCTACACAGGCTGAAACAGAAGTTTCACTACTAAAGCAAGAACGCCTTCGATTGCAAAGACAGGTTTGGCCTACAAACTTGTATTCCCAAGAGAAATACTTCTGGTCCGTTTTTTTCAGACGTTGATAGAGTGATTAGGTTTTGATTAGACAATTAAATTGCTTTGATGGTTCAACTTTTTACAAGAGTACCTGATCGCCGTTCATCCCTTTTTCATTCTGAAATTTTGTTATGGTTGCAGTTAGATGCAGCCCTTCGTTCCGCAGAAGACGCCCTGTCTACTTTGCGGCGGGAGCAGGAGACTGCGCGTACAAGTCTTTACTCTGACGAGGAGTTTAGATCGTTGCAGGCTCAGGTAATTTTCGCAGATTTGCATCGAGATTCTGATCCATCGAGCTTGCCCTGTAACCGAGGTTGTGTGATAAATCTCTTGTACGTCTTGCGTCCAAATACAGGTCAGAGAGCTCAATCTGTTGCGAGAGAGTAACTCTCAACTAAGGGAAGAGAACCGCAGGAACTTCGAGGACTCTAGGGTGAGTTATGGAGTATGTTTGTGAAGATGGAAAGTTTCAGATGCTGCTTACAATTTCATTAAATGCTTGAAGTTAATACCCCCTTCTAGACAAGCATATCCAAATGTCGTTACCCACTCTTGGCTTGCAAGCATTATAGATCTGTTGAAGTAATTCCTTCTTTAGTACGATTTGGTACGTGTGAGGCCTAATTAACGTGCGAATTTTTGATGTGCAGGAATCTCGAGAGAAGGCCAGACTTGCATACATAGAACTGGAACCACTACAAAAGAGATTGAAGGAGAAGGAGGTTGAGTTGGAATCTTCTGCGAAGGAGCTTGAAATGCAGAGGGCCGAAACCCAACGTTGGCAGAATAGAGTCACTCAGGTGCAGTTTGACCGTTTCAGTTTGTAGTTTAGAACGTGTCTACCCTGCACTGCCGTAAGTTTGGAATAGAGAAGCTGTGAAATGTTTAGTCTAGCTAAGGGAAAATGCTGAGAAATGTCCCTCTTAAGTCTGATGCAAACTGGAAATTCTCACTCAGATCTAAACCAAGATCTGTCACATCATATAATATTTATGATTAGACTAGACTGAATTCTGCTTCATAAGCAAGGAAAGTCTGCATGTGGTGGTTCTACAAATTTCTGTCATTGACCCGTATTCTTGAGGCATATGGACTAGAATAATAGCGGAGGTTAAACTAATATCTCTTAACATGTTATTTTGACAGCTGTTGGAGAAGTACAAGACAATTGATGTGGATGACTATCAACGTGTCAAGAGTGAACGTGAAGAGTTGCAGGTGTGTCTTTTGAATTGTACCTTTACATATCTATCAAATGCATTGCAAGGTGGTTGTCACAAGGTTGTTCTGTTTTCACTACTTGACACTATTAAGTGTCCTGAGACAGGCATATCTACATGATTTGTTGTTATATATGTGGTGGTAATTAATGGATGCATCTAATTTGGAAGCATTGAAGATAGAGGGTTGAGTCTTCTTATAAAGACGAAGTGAGAGTAGATTTATGAGAGTAGTCGCTGCAGGTGAATTGTTCAGAAAAGTTGCCAGCTTTTTGAACAAGCATGTCATGTGTTTTTGCATTTTCGACTTCATTTTAAACGATGCTTGCTATCGGGATTATCATGACCTTTGTTTTACATACAGGTGTCCGTCGCTGCTCTTAAGTCGGGAGTTGAAGCAGCAAAGGGGGAGTTGGAAGTCTCTCAGAAAGAATCTGAGGCGACACGAATCAAATGCGAGAAGATGCAGAGTGATATCACCGAGAAGGATAACAAAATAACCGAGTTGGAGAAGAACGTGGAGGTAAACGGTTACACATTTTGCACTGAGATTTGTAACTCTTCCTGATCTCAAGGAAAAAGCGGATGTACTGTCAGTTTCGAGGAGAGTTTCGTTCAGTTGCATTTTTGTCAACCGCGCAGGCAAGAATAGATATTTAGAAAGCAGTTTGTTAACTGAGCAATAGCCTTGGTCGCAGTACATAATACCTATGAATGATTCCTTCAGCTGGCATGGAAGTTTATTCTTAAATCTTGTCTTACAAGAAGAACACTGTATGTTTCAGGCCCTCAAAGTAGAGCTGGACAGATTCAGAAGACATGCTACCTTCCAAAAGGTATGTTTCTGAGTGATTTTGTCCCTGCCCATAAGAGGTTGATATCTTCAAAAGAAGAGCAAGTAAGCTCTTGGATTTTGCTGCTCATATTTTGTGATCTGTTACAGCGAAGGATTGATAACCTCACGAAAGAGAAGGACGAACTTAGCAAAGAAAACGAAAATTTGTCGAAGCAAACTGAAGAGCTGAAGGCTAATGCAGGTTGGTAGCGGTTGCTGAAGATAGAGCTAGATCTTTCCTATCATTCTCTTTGTTACATAGGTCAATGGTCTTGTTTTGCGTTTCCAAGTTATTGGTGTGATGTATTCTGTCTTAAAGTTGGGTTTCTCTTATTCTGGAACAGGGAAAAGGATTTCCATGGAATCAAGACAAGAAGTAGCACGGCAAGAGGCGGCATTGAGACAAGAGGCTACTGCTCGCCAGGAGCAAGCTCAGAGGGAATCAGAAAATGTTCTCAAAGAGAAGGAAGCTGTCTTGAAGGAGAGGGATGCCAGAATACAGGTCAGGCATACCGCTTTAAGGGATTGGAGTAAGTTTTTCAGTTCCATTGTCTGCGAGAGGTACTCATTTGTTCTCGGTTTCTCTGCAGACGTTGGAGAAGATACTAGAAAGAGAAAGGGAGTCATTACGCAAAGAGAAGGCATTGCGTCAACGGGACCAAAGAACTTTTATGGACCTGACTCAGAAAGCAGCCTCAGTACGGATGACACAAAACCATATCTCAGATTTCATGCCAAATGGGTCTAGGCTGGAAAGAAGGAAGGAAACTGCCTCTTAATGTGTTGTTCTTGTATGATTGATCTTCTTGTGTTTGGCTGTTGATGTGTTATCGCTTCCTAGTTTTTTCGTAATGAGCGTTCATGAGCCTTCGTGTTTATTTTGGACAGGAGAAGAAGAGGATAGAGAGTGAATTGGAGGCCCTAAAACGTGTTCAGCAAGTTGAGGTAATGTTGGAAGCCATTTTCTGGCAGTTTGCAGAGTCATATGTGTAGATCCATTGTGCTCACTAACGAGAGAAAGCTGATGATAAATGTCGAATTGAGGTTGTATCACATCTCAGTGATGTTTCATGCCTCTGGGATGCTGACACAACATCGACCTGGAACTTGTACTCGTGTTCCAGCCACAAGTTATCAGTGCGGGCACGTCTGATCCTCCTCCTCGAACAGACATTGAGGAAAGAGTCGTAAGCGTGGAAGCTGTTATGAATGCCGTGTCGGAACCTCCTGTCAGTGTTCAAGAGGTGACTGCGCAACCTACTGCAAATGCTCCTTCTGCTTCATCATCACTGGTGGCTCAAGCCACGGGTGTGAGCTCCACTGAAAGTATACCCCATTCTGCACCCATGGAGACCAGTACTGTGGCCACAGAGGTAACTTCCAGTACCGCCTCGGCCTTTGGAGCAGTCGTAGCTGCAATAAGTGGAATCTCGACAGGGACGAATGCCAGCGGAGCTCGTCAGGCCATTAGAACAAATTTGGCAAATATTCCTCCCGCATCAACCAGGCAACCTTTTAGACCACCGCCTGCGCAAGTACCTGTATCTGATCTGAGGGAGAAAGAGATGGCTCAGTTGCGTCGAGAGATTGAGGAAAGGGAGGTAAGAATGATTATTTGTTGTCTCTGTATCTAGAGATCAATCTCAATGTCCGAATAAGTTTCTTTCATACATTTCCAGAGGTGGGTCGCAAAGAGCAAAAGAGTCAGTTCGTCCCAAATACCAAGACCGATATTAGGAGAATCTAATGTTTTATGCCTTCGCTGCTGTGCAGAGGAATGCGGCAAATATTGGATCTCAGGCCAGAAAGTCAGCCCGCAGGTTGATCCGTCCTAGAATTGAGCCCGCTGGTCAGCAGGAAAATGTACTGGAAACTGGTGAATTAGCTGGGGATGGTACGGTTGACTTGCCAGAAGCTGATATCGAGTTCGTAGAGCAGGGTAAATCGTCTGGCAGTGGAGGTGATGCTGCTGAACCCGAACCTACTTTCGGAACAGGTCCACTTGTGGTTGAGGTTCTGACTCCTGTTACGGAGTCTCCCTTGCCTTTGTCTGTACCTGTGAATGCCAGTTTACCTTCAGTGTCTGCGCCTGCTCGTAAGCGTCCCGCAACGGCTCCTACCGGAATTCTTACTGAAGAGATTCCTATAGATCAAGAGGCTAAGAGCGAAACCGCACCCCCTCAGAAGAGAGCACGACCAGTCGAGAGTTTACCTGAAGTTGTTACTGAAGAGGCTAGTGCTTCTGCCAGTACTTCTGTTGCTGGTTCGAAGGTGCAGGGTGACAGTGGTCAAGAGACCCAGGAAGCTCTTCCTGAAATGAGCGGTGTCCTGGCAGCAACCGAGGATCTCATGACAGCCGTGATGTCCTTAGGACCCGAGAGCGATAGGGAGCGGCCTCTTGCTGAATCATCTGATGTTCAACCTCAGAAAAGACCACGTTTCATCAGACCCGAGGCTGTCTTGCTTCCAGTGCAGCCTGTTGTTAGAGAGGAAGAGATGGCCGAGGGTGAGAAGAGTGATGTGGCGAAGGTAGTCGATCTTGGTGATGTGACTCGAGAGGTGGACGTGGCTGTTGAAACGAAAGGAACAGCAGAAGTTAGTGCGGTGGACCTCGGAACGACCGAGCAGGAACCCACAGAAGTCTCAGTTCAAGTTGATCAAAGCCAAGAGCATGAAAGTCAAGGAAAGTCGAGCACGCAGTCTGTTGTCAGCAGCTTAGTAGAGGCTTCACAGAGTGCTGGTGAGGGACAGTTGTCTCAGAGTGGACTTGATATCGATATGAACGAGCCGATATTTGAAGAGGATGTCAATATACCTGCCACCTTTGACGTGAGTGGAGCCGAAATCGGTGAAACAGTCGAAGGCGATGTTGCTGGTGGTGACGTTGCTGTTCAGCGAGTCACTTCAACTTTCTCTGAGTCTATTGTAACGGAAGAAATCGAAGATGTAACTGAGATGGAAGAAGGGGAGATGGCAATGGAGGTCACAGTTACTGAGACGAGCTTTAGATCTGAAACTATTTTGGAGGAGGTATCTGAGACAAGGGTTCAGGATAGGCCGACCACGGAGAGGGAAGACGTAGTTGTGCGAGAGACAACACCTGCTGCTCTCAGCGAACAAAATGCAGGCTCCTCACAAACACCTGTTGAGGCGAGAGATAGTACTAGTGTTCTTGCGTCCCAATCAAGCAGTGAGGCACTAGCCGGAACATTAGGCAGTGAGGCACTCGCTGGAACAGTAGAGGTTGCAGGTGACGTTGTTGGTTTAGGAGAAACGAGTGCTCACGAGCAGAAAGGTCCTCAAGAACACCCACTCGAAGGTCATTCAATGTTGACTAGGTTGGCAGCAGTCAAAAGTACAACCATACATCTGGCGGAAAGAGCTAAAGAGAGAGCTGTTCTTCGACGAGGCCTTAATCCCCCGTCGCCAGCAGCTAGAGGCAGGGGACGAACGACAAGAGGCGGGAAGGTTAGTCTGTACCTGTTGGAATTGTTATTTTTATTGGCTTGAGCTTTATTTGACTTGATTATTAGGCATGGTCGGGCTTTGGAAATGTTTCACGTGAATAGCATGAAGTAATATGAAGTTAAACCAGGTGCTTCATCTAGGTATACTTGAAAACAATCACGATCAGTTGGTTATCTATGTCTTCTGGGCTGGTTCCTTATTGGACCGTCAAGTATCATCTATGCGCATGCCTTGATAGGGGTAGGTATTGGTAGTACTGGGGTAATACATGGAGTGGCTGAAATACGTAGAAAGTCTTTTGCATCATCATCTACCTGATCTGGTTTTACAGAGAGCTCCTAGCGGCGGAAGAGGAGGTGGGCGAGTAATATCGACTGGTGTTCGAGGGCGTGGGCAAGCTGGTATGAGGGGTGTTCATTTCGAGTAATATTAAGTATGAAAGTGGTAGCAATCTTGCGGATTATGAGAGATGTAAGTTACTAGCCTTTTGTTTTGTCACGATAATGTTATAAGTGTGTTACATGCATATGCAGGTGGTAGTCCAGGTCCGGGTTCTGATGCTACAAGATCTGGAAACCAAGCTGGAGCTGGTGCAGCTGGCCAGTCGGATCCTTCGCAGACGAGCTCACCGTCGAATAATCCGTACGACGGCACCCCACGGGATGGGGACGACTAATCTCCTTAAGACGTCACTAAAACAACACACAATTTTGAAAGGTGATCATTCTAAATTATTTTTGAGTAGGTTCGGAGGGTGAGGGAGTTGGGTACGTTGCAAGAAATTAAGTACAACTTACGAGATTTTACAAGTTTCATTAGTTCCCGAGGTCCAGAGGCACGTACACGCAGGTGGTCGGTCGAGTATGTTTTGAAAAGACATGTCTAGAGGAGGTCGAGTCTGACACAAATTTAAGCTTGTGGTTCATTCTACATTTCTTCCGATAATTTTTTGGTTGCAGCGCTGAATTTCTTATGTTCCTGTGCAGTTAGCTGAACAAACCTACTATGTAATAACGAGAGCGACTTTCTTGTTACGGTTGACGTGTTGGAATGGTAGATGGTCGTTTGTAGTTTATATCGGTAAAGTAGCCTCTTGTTTGTGAAGCAGGAAGCCATGACAATCTTCAGTATCAGAAGAGTGTCATACATTCACATGTCTTACCACATGATCATGTGCATAATCTCATCGGTGGTGGATGTTTCTAAGGTGTATATTTATTCTTTTATGGGCAACTATGAATGAGATAGCAAGCACAGAAACCAACGTTAAGTTCACAAGTTTATCATATGGTGGCCGTCAGAATACTCGTTATATCTTCGATTCCTTGTAGTGCTCATCTTACACTGCTCAGGCTTGTTATACATAACGCATTGTAAGATGTACTGATAGTTGTTGAGAACAGGTTTGTATATTAACAAAGGAAGGAATATCGTGATCAATTCCCCTATGGTCACATACTGCAGAAGAAGATGATTTTGACCTTTAAAAGCTTGGGTTTTCTTAATGGCGATAAATGTGAACGTAAGTGGTTCCATCAATTATGCATTGTCTGTTAAACAATCTCTGAAGTGGGCTCTACACATTAGCTTCTCATCCTTAGTTTGCCCGCAAACTTGGACTGTTATAAAAATTTACAATTCTAGCGGACGCTCAACAATCTGGGTTAAAAATCTTTCTTGAGTACTTCGTAATCTTGCTGCTTTTTGGAGGAGGTAGTGCCGTACAGTCTGTTCATGGCTTTAGAGTTGACAACTGGAATGCTTTATGTGGTTTTCGCCGATTATCCTTGCCCACTGGAGGACAAGTTCATGGGATTCATATATCGGAGAATGCTCACCGACTGTGCAGTCTGAACTTCCGGAAGGTTTGGACTTATACGTAAGCAGTGGATTCTCGTTGAAAATATATTATTTACTGACAAATCATCCTCGCCCATAACTTTCAGGTCTAACTATGGTCAAAATATTTATCTTGGAGAACGTTTTTCAAGATGCTGTCTTCAGGAATGTTGATTTGATGTTTTTTTGATGTAGAGGAGTTAACGGGGAAAAACATGTAGTTTGCAGATACGTATCACCATCTGATGAAGAAAGAGTTTCCTTCAACCAGGAACTCTCTTTTCTGACACCGCATGCCGTTCTTTTGGACATAGAAGTACTGTTCTTGCCTTTTATAAGAAATCATGCCTTTCTGTCTCAGAAACTAGGATAAACGTTAATCGGACCATAGGATAATCATCCCGGGCGGTGCCAGAGTTTAATGTTCTCGAACTCTCAACTGATGATTTGACTTTTGTGTTTGTGAGTCATAGAAGCTTAACATCTCCTCCTTTTACTTTCGGAAAGTGTTACAAATGGACGTAATTGTTCAATTCGTGGATGTTTTGTATCCGAAGATAAACATCTTGGAGATCCAGTCAACAGAACAAGTTTTTCAAACGAAGGTGGGCATCACAAACCAGATAAACTGCAAATACACGTCTCCCCTAAAGGAGTTCTGACCTCTTACGTTGTTCCTCAGCTTACTAACACTCGCTCAAACCGACCTTATAGACGATGACGAAGGCCGCAATTCTGAAATTCCATAAAGTATTCCTCCTATCTATCATTACGTTCGAAAGACTATCTACAGTAAACTATATATATGGCATACTCCCAGTATGTCCTATGCCGTTGGTACTTGAGAACCAAGTTCTAACGAGATGAAAGGTCCCCGAAAGAAACAGGTTAAGCAACTTCAAAATTGGTCGTCTAACAGACCACGGATCTTAATAGTTTACGCGAGTCTCTTTCACTGACGGAATTTGAATTTGATACTGAACGTGTTACGAAACTGCCATGCCTTTCCACATTGCAATATGATATGAATGCACGAATATTGCAGTCACTCAGTGCATTAAAGGACAAGAGCAAGTAATGCGTCACATGATGTGGTCCGTAGATCACCTGAAGCTTACGAAATACTAACAAACCATGGGATCATGCGAATGGCTTACTTCTTTTAGAATGTGCGCTGGTTGGTAGATCACGTGGTCACCCACTTCGGGTGGCTGATATTGTACACTAAGCTCGTATCGGGATTGAAAACCACACCTTCACCATATCAAAACCATACATGTGTACTGCAAACACGAACTCCTTGTGTGATTTCCACAAACTGAAGTTTCTAAAACTTCATAAATTCAAAGATATTTCAAGAGTAATTAATGGAGTGAAATGTTTAATTATTTATTATTTGAACCATTGGAATAAATCTTTTAATTCATTTGTTATTTTTGAAGGTTTATGCTTGAATTAATTTATAATAACTTTTGAGTCAATTCAATATTGTATTCTCTTTAGAATTTTCAAAGATGATATACAAAAATGATTAGAGTATTATGAAACCTTTAGTGTCAAACTTTGTCATCAAAGTTGTTTTGTATATAAATGATTTTATATTACTAACACATGATGCCATTAGTTTACAAAAAAATCTTAACTTTTGTAATTTCCACTTTGAATAAATTTTGTACTCAAAATTAGATGGAGTTCAATTTGGAGAAGTCAAAGTTCATTCTTGTGATCACTGGATCCAAGTTAGTTTATACTTATAGTTTTTTTTAATATTTATTTCTTTATTCTAAACAAAGTATTAGAGTTGAAACAAGTGAGGAGTTATAAATATTTATTCATTGATTTTTCCCAGGATTATATTTGGACAAGAGAGTAAAAGCTGGTTTCAAAGCTCTATATTTATCGCTAAATAGATGTAGAGTAGCTTATCTAGTGTCTTGGAGTCTTAGTAAATTCTTATTCATGAGCTTAGTATTTCCAGTTATCTTCTTTAGAACACAAGTGTGGGGTCTTGGTTGTAAGAAGAGAGGTTCGCAAAGTTTGGAGAGGGTGCAAAAAATCTTTTTACAAGAAGAATTGGATGTGAGAACCCAAATTTCATATGTTATTACTCTTGTGGAAACAAGTTGTTAACCTTTTGAGACTGAAGCTCTCTTGTTGACTATCATTTACATCATAAGAGTGAGATCTCTTGCTGTTTGTTGGCTTTCTCTTCAAGCTTTGCGTGCCGCATGTTCCAAAGGATTGTTTGCATATGTGGTGATTTGGTCTTTGAGGTGAAATTTGAACTCGATTGAGATTTGCAACTTATGGCCCTTCGCGAGTGTATTAAGGAGTAATTTCTTAGCATTATTTGAAGCAAACGAAGCCCTAAAATGGAGTTTTTTCAACTTCACGTAAATACTATGCTTGTTTATTGTGAGTAAGCATATCTACTTGTGGAGATCTCTACATCTTTACGACATAATATTGCTCGACATAGAACAAGATATCTTAATCTTGGTATTGAGTAAGTGCGCTCCTTGAACATTGTTAGGAGTGAAAGTATTTGTAGTCTATATGATGAGAGAAAAGTTGAGAATGAAGAGTATGTGTTTGTTACTTGTACTAGATATATAGTTAGTAGTGTGACTTATAAGGTTGTTGTTGATAATTTTTATTCTTTGCTTGAGCTTGAGACTTATGATTTAGGTTGTTTTATGAGTAATGTTAGTAGTCATAGTTCTAGTGCTCTAGGCACTAGTTAGAGAGTTCTTTTGGTTCTCTCCTAGTTTGGAGTTGAGTTCTTTGTATTGTGTTTTTTAGCTTTTTGATCCTTTGGATACCACTGCCTTGATCCATTTATCATTTAGCATAAAGAAATTACAAATACATTTCCAAAAAATATTTGAATAAAAATTTGTGAAAATTTAAATTTCTTGTATATTTCTAGTTTGCAAGAATTTTATAAGATATAAAAATGAAAGGTTTTCAAATCACAAACATTGTTTTTAAGTATTGAAACAAATTGACATTTAACTCAAGTGATTAATAGTTATTAAAAATCACAGATTAAAAATTTTGAAGTATTGCTGAAATAACTCTTATGTCAAATTATTAATATTTTTCTTATGTCATGAAAGAGATGCTAGAATGGATTTTTATAATTGTGATAGTTGATATTCTTAGCAGTGAAAAAGAAATAAAGAGAAGGAAGAAAATATTAAGCATAACAAATTGAAATAGGAAACTTCAACGATGAATTTTTATTTCTTATTCATAGATTTAGAATTGAAATCTTCAAATGATGAAATGAGAATTAGTAAAAGATTCATGTCTAAAAGGTTAATGTTTTAATGTTTTTGTATTTTTTGTGTAAAATCAGTTATTTGATTTTTTCATGTTAGTGAAATTAAACTATGTTTTTTTCTTTCTTTCAACATTTGAATATCCCAATTTAGCCATGCTTTAAGATTATAACCGATATATGATACTTTGAAATACACTTCAGTAAGTTTGATTGTAGCATATAGTTACAATAAATTTTGTTTGACCTTTACATCAAAGTGCGCATCTTATTTAAAAACTGCAAGAATGTATCTTAGTGTGAGATTTTTGTTAAGGAAAGAGATTACTTATGTCCCAAAGTTCCAAAACCAATATGTGGAGTACTCTATTACTTCCATGCAATTTAAGAATTATGATCATAGTGTCAAACCTGTGAAAATGTAATTTAAGAGAATCAAGCCATTCGATGTTCATGTACTTGATCAATGTTGCATTACCTTTTTGTGGATGTGGACTGTCTAGACTACAAGATATATATTGGAATCCAATCTCCAAGATACATGTTCAGTTAGTGCTTAAGTCCAGGTAATCATATGATGATAGTCAGATATCGTAAAAACATAATTTTTACGGTATCCGTCATTAGGCAATGTGGTAACCTTCTTGTGTTTTGAAGATAATTTTGAAACTAAAACAATGCATGCTTAAGAGTGTAGTTTCATGTGATGACAGATAATGACCAAAATGTAGCATAATGGTAAAGATCCGATCCCACAAGGACAGAAACAACAGAAAGAGCAACAAGTGTCACGTATTTAACAGTCTATTGAGGGGTTTGAATTCTCAAGCGGTTGTCACTCCCAGAAATATTGTAGGTGCTAAGTCCGAAGTAGTCACAATTTGACGTAAATCACACAACAATCCTGAAATTCTCCAATCCAGCATCACAGAGGTCGATCATGACCTTGTCTTAATATTCAGGGGGGAAAATTGCAGTTGCGCGACGCTCAAGATCTCGTAATTGCAACCACTTTTGCGTCTCGACCTACCATAATACAAATCCACGCTGACATCGATTCAGCTTCTCTATCAAGGTGTCGTTTGTCTGCTCCGCTAACTATCGATTCTTCTCCTCCGACTTTGACAGTTTCGCCTCCTCTCACATAACTGCTCCTCGGCCAACGATCGCTGAGATCTCATCTCATTGCACTTGGCCTTCAATCTCTCTACTAGCTTGTGGTCTGAGTACCTAGCAGCCTCATTCTTCGTCAGAGCCTTCAACTTTGCTGCCGCCTCTGATGCGTGCGCGTGATACTTCTTCTTCGAATCTGCAGTATGCTCATCTACTCTTTGCGACTCTTCGTTGAAAGCTACTTGAGACGCCTCTAGTCTATTCCGAAGATCGATTGTCGCACATCTGATGAACTCAATGTCAATCCGAAGACTCTCACATGTATTTTCCGAAGACCT